AAAAGATCTAATAAGTAAGTAGAATAAATTAGAAGGGTGACAAATCTTCCAGTACATTTGCAAGAATTCACAACATCATAGAATATACTGCAGAAACTAACATTCTGCCTAGAATGTGCAGAAATTGACATTCAACTTGAGCCACAGTGCGAGAGCTCAAAAATTTTTGGACCATGAGACCATAATTTATAGTCATTTTAGATATGATGTAGAACTTCACGAACAAATGATAGGATGACAATAAGCCCTGAAATGTTGATAAGGCCTAAAGTTACAAAATTCTGATAACATAACAGAAACTTCGTGAGGTAGCAGAAGGAGATTAATCAAATAACCACGTGGCAAAGGATTGATGATGTGGAAGACACAAGATATGATCACGGCGCCGTAGGAATAATGGGACCAATCGATGATGAGGCAGTCATAATTCCATTTCATTACTTAATTAAATAGATAAAGAAGAGAGATAATAAATCAGTTCAACAATTCTTAAAAAATATACTTCTTGAGAGGGAGATTCATGATCTGGAGTTGGGCCGAGGTAACGGCCAAGCAGATTGAGAGCCCAACGGTACATGGGGCCGAGATGATTGACCATCCGCCAAGAAGTGGGCTGCCAGAACTTGGACCGGGCAGAACTTGGGCCAAGTGTGAGCCGCCCCGGACCGAAAAGGAGCTCGGCTAGATAACGCTTGGTTGGACCGAGCTGCCTGGTCAGGGGATGGCTGAAGCCAGACAAGCTGAATGACCGGCGCCCGGAAAGGCGTGGTCAACCGAGGAGACTGTTTGACCGGCAGGAAGGCCGACCAAAGGAGGTGAACGGGCTAGGCTCTGCCGAGATGCCGCCTAGCCCGGTCCTCCATGTGTTTATCCAGTTAGGTGCTTGGGTATGAAGCATAGCATGGCCGTGGTAGAGCAGCTCGGCTGCCGAGCTCCAGCTGTGATGTCGGGCAGTTGAGATTAGGTGATGTTCAGCAAGGTTTATGCTGACAGATGGGATAGCGGAGCCACGTGTCACGAGACGACTGGGAGTAGATATGGGGCACAGAGGGTATATAAGCATGTCTGCGCCCCCCATACTGGAGGACGAACATCTCTGTAAGGAATTCTTACACTCAAACTCCTCTCCCTTCTCTCTATCCATCCTAAGGTGTGTGCTAACTTGATCGTCGGATGGTTTTTCCGGCCACACACCGCCGGGTAGCTCACCATTATTTGTGCGCAGGCGATCGGACGTAAACGGAGCTTGGAAGAAAGGAGTACGGGCTTGCCGGAATATTTGCTCCCCGTACACTGTTGAAAGTTATTCCATATTCTTAATTAGTTGTTAAATCAAAACGCGATTAAATTAAAAGTTAGTTGGCCACGTAGCAGTCACATGGAGAGCAAATTCGAGATTCAACCGTTAGTGGTCATGGTGCTTGCTAAAATGGGGTTTCAAGGCAAAAATCAAGTACAATTGGCAAAATTTTCAACAACCATGTTCTAGCAATAAAGCAAAAACAAGAGGCTAATTTGAACTATAAAAGGACTCTATAACCATTATTTGAAGGGACCAATCATTCAAGATCAACTATGGTCAATCACTTTATCAATTTATCTTTCATGGTGTAGAACTAATTTCTAGTAAATGTTATATCTTTCATTTATCAATTCCGGTGTCTTGGTAGTTTTATTCTAACTATTTATTATCTTTTACTTTAATTCTATATCATTTTGTATCAATGCAAGTTAAATTTTCTTTCATTTTAACACTAATCATTTGAGTTTTCATTTATTTTCTCTTTTTAGTCAAGTTTATCATTTAATTTTCAAAAATAGTCCCTTTTTTATTATTCAATTCTTGCAATTGACAACTTAAATTCACGTAAAGTTAGTTACTCAACTAATATTTCACTATCACCTGAGAAAATATTAAAATCCTCTTCATTGTCGCAAAACTATAGATGTTTGGGTTAACTTTTTGACTTTTTATAAAAAAATATGCATTAAAAAATTGTATAAAGAAGTGTGTAGGAGAAGATTAGTTTTTTGTGTTGTACAACCGTACAACCTGTTGAGCCAAATTGGTGGTAAGAAATTATTGGCTACTTTTTGGGGCATTGCACTGGACAATTTTGTTTGGCCCGTGGGGGCCATCACGAGTCCCATTTTGATAATCTGAACCGTTCAATGTATAGAACTCATCGAGTACTATATGCCAATAAAAAATCACGTTCATCGCATATCGATAGCTATCTAATCAGATTTTTTTTTTCAATCGTTAATTATAACACCGTCCTTTTTTTTATATAAAATTGATTTGATCATGTAGTTATCGATATCCGATCAATGTGATTTTTTACAAACATATAGTACTTGACGAGTTCTACACATTGAACGGTTCAGATTATCAAAACGGGATTCATGATGGGCCCCCATGGGCCGAACAATAGTGTGTTCAATTGCACCCAATCTATTCAGATTTGTTCAGCCACACCCAGCACAGAGTAGTGATTGCTGAGTTGTACTTGGCTTGAAAAATTAATTATTCAAAAATTTTTTTTTGTGAATAGTATTAACTTTTTAGCTTTTTAAGTAATTTTTTGACTTTTTAAATTTTTTAAGAGATGACAAACTTGGCTTTACTATAAGGACTTTGTTGTGTTGTGTATTTCTTCTCTATTGTTCCGGGTTGTTTCTTAGGTTCGTGGGGTGTTTGTTTATCTCCCATTTTAAAGGCTATTTATTAAGCTGATTGTTGGACTTATATATTTATTGAACTATAACGCTAATAATTACCCTTTTATATAAATTTTGTTAGTGCGAACATGATAAAGGTTTTCTAGGGACCAACCTAGAAAGAAGGAAAGTTATTTTTGATTTGTAGAAATTGAAGAGAAAACAAAGAAAAAGAAAAGGCATATGCGAGGAAGTCAGTTTTTTGGTGTAAAAGGTGCACTTTAACGTAGTGGATTTTGGAGTGAACGACTCTTTTATAATGGCTTATTGAAGTGGAATCTTGTCAGGCCATGTTAGTGGAGTTGATAGGAAGGTTATTATGGTGTTTGTATCAAAATAGAAATTTAGCGTCAAAAGTAAAAGAATTGTCCTTTATAGGTTGAAATTTGAAGAATTGTTACATATAAATTCTTCATATTAAGGAATTAAGACTTTGTAATCATTGAGAAGGTCATTCAATAGTCACCTAAGTTTAATAGGCATGTTGGTAAGTATGTCAAGTCTCATAGAAATTTAGAAGATCCAATAAGTAAGTAGAATAAATTAGAAGAGTAACAAGTCTTCTAGTACATTTGGAAGAATTCACAACATTATGGAATATAGTGCAGAAACGAACATTCAACTTGAATCATAGTGCGGGAACTCAAAAAGTTTTGGACCATGATACAATAAATTATAGTCATTCTAGATATGATGTAGAACTTCACGAACAAATGATAGGATTACAATAAGCCCTGAAATGTTGATAAGTTTAAGGTTACGAAGTTCTGATGACATAGCAGAAATTTCGTGACGTAGGAGAAGGAGATTAATCAAATAATCACGTGGCAAAAGATTGATGATGTGGAAGACACAAGATATGATAACGGCGTTGTAGGAATAATGGGACCAATCGATGATGAAGCAATCATAATTCCATTTCATTACTTAAATAAATAGATAAAGAAGAGAGATATTAAATCAGTTCAACAATTTTTAAAAAATATAGTGTTGAAAGTTATTCCATATTCTTAAGTTGTTGTTAAATCACAACATGATTAAATTAAAAGTTAGTTGGCCACGTAGCAGCCACATGGAGAGCAAATTCGAGATTCAACCGTTAGTGGTCAAGGTGCTTGCTAAAATGGGGTTTCAAGGCAAAAATCATGTACAATTGGCAAAATTTTCAACAACCATGTTCTATCTTTCACTTATCAATTCCTGGTAGTTTTATTCTAACTATTTATTATCTTTTACTTTAATTGTATTTCATTTTCTATCAATGCAAGTTAAATTTTCTTTCATTTTAACACTAATCATTTGAGTTTTCATTTATTTTCTCTTTTTAGTAAAGTTTATCATTTAATTTTCAAAAACAGTCCCTTTTTTATTATTCAATTTTTGCAATTGACAACTTAAATTCATGCAAAGTTAGTTACTCAAGTAATATTTCACTATCACCTAAGAAAATATTAAAATCCTCTTCATCGTGACAAAACTTGAACCCATAGTTCATCTTCCTAATCACTCACAATTTCCTAAATTAGAAATCAGAAACATACACCTTTAACTAGGTGTACAAGTCCTTACACACCAGTGCAATTTAAAGCATCAACAAAGTTGTGTTTTCCTTTTTAAGGTAAACATATGGTCATTTTGAAAAATTAAAGGGGATAATTCCGTAATTAAAGTGACGTAAGTTTGCATTGTTGAATGGAAGCTTAATAAATTTCTTTTTAAAAATTGAAATAAATTCTTCAAAATGATGGACAGTAAAATTTTGGTTATTATAAAATACAAAGATGGTTGTTTTTACCTGGAATGAAACTATGATAAAATGATATACCATTCAATAAATTTTTTCTTTTTAATGCTATCACATTTATAAAGAAACCTTTATTTTAAAGTAAACAATTGTCCATGTTTTTTCACTAATATTACATACTCAGAATTATTGCTTCAAATTTTACACAAAAACTCATTAACGGAGCGACTTCTAGATTGCGTCTGAATCCGTTCGAAGCCAAGTACTTCGGATCTCTAGATTCGTGGGTCCGAATCCTTTCGAGTCCGAGTGCCTCGGATCTCTAGGCTTGCTTAATACCCTTTCGAGTCCGGGCCCGAGTAAGTCTCTAGGTTCGTGGATCCGAACCCTTTCGAGGCTTAGAGCCATTCAGCCCGTTGGACGGTGATAAATCCAAGCCCACCAATCTTGGACTTGCGATAAATTCGGGCCCACTAATCTTGGGCTATTGGGCCTAAATAATTTAGTGGGCTTAAATTAGCTCCTCTTACAGTTTTCAACGTAGAGCCACTGTGTTTTGTTTCCTCAAATCATTATAGAACTTCGCTATGAACTCCCCAGCAGCTTCGTCTACGTGGCTATCCCTGTCAACGTCCCGTAACGGAAACGGTGAGTCCGTTATCCTCAGCTGCCTCACCATTGGGCTCCGTCCAAACCCCGGCAATGCCGGCGACGACAATTCACTATACAACATGTCATGCACCATCATCGGACTCTGCAAGAAACCCGGCAACACCAACGAGCCTGCCTCACTGTTCATCATCTCCAACGCCTTTTTAACTGCGTCAACGGTCAATATGTCGTCGTCGGTGGGTGGCGCGTGAGTGCAAGGGAAGAAATGAGAGTGCTTGTGGTGTTTGCACTGCTTGCTGAGGTTGAAGGGGAAGACTGCTGGACTGTTGCTGCAGCTGAACTCGTATTCGTGTGGGGCGGAGAAGGACAGGTGTCGGTCGTGTGATTGGCGGTTGAAGGTGGAGGAATAGTGGTTGTGGTGGAACATGAGGTTGTGTATGGCTTTCCCTTCTATCTTGCCACGTTTCATCATCATGTTGAGATCAACCATCAATTTTCGTTTTGATATGCCCTTCCTTACCATGAAGTACAACACACGTACTATGTGCCATAACCTTTTGGCTGCTACTGGTAGATTTGTATGTTCCATCTCTTTATTGTTTTGTGTTTTGTATCAATATAGAGAAAGATTTAATGTTTGGAGAGAGAGAGAGAGAAGACGATTTTGAATTGGGAAGAAGCAAAGGAGGGAGCTATATATAAAGGCCAAAAAGGAAGAAGACATATTGCAATGCATTGATATTTTGAGTTATTTTAATCAATATGTTATAAAGTAGTTATCATCAATTAGTCCTATTAGACTTAGTTAGGTATAAGTTCTGATTGATAAATTTATTACTATAAATTTATTCATTAAAACAAGAGAGACTGATAAATTTATCACTTGATGAATTTATTAATAAAACTTAATAGGTAATAATTCTAAAAAATAAGACTTATTGGTAATTTATTTGACTCAATTATTATTGATAGCAGAATAGTTTTGAAATATATATATATATATCTTCTATCTATCGATTTATACTATTAATATGTGAAGTCGAAAAAAATATGTCTCATGATTTGCCGACACACGTGTTATGACAAGTTGATTTAGTGATATATGACATGTACCTCAAATTTTACCTCCCACAATATATATGTATGTATATGTATTCAGAAATATACTTAGAATATTGATGTATTTTTGGGATACTTAGCTCTTGAATCATTTATATATATATATATATATATCAACAAAAGAAAAGCGTTTATCGATGAAAACAAGCATTCAAAGTATGAATTATATCAATAAATGGGGAGAAAGTGCAAAGAGTATCATAGTAAAATTTCAAGATCCCAACTAAGTTGGCACTAATAAAAATACACAATCACTTGCTAGCACAAGCCTCAAAATTGGTAAGGAACCAACAAAAAGAAACAAAAACAACAGCAACAAACTCAATGTAATAAAAACAACACCACCACCACCACACAGCCCAACCACCAAACTCAATGTTCCTCAAGCTCCGCCCCTCAGACATTAACTCAAGCTCTGCTTCTCATTCTTAAACCAGCAATAGTCAGATGCAGCCCCTTATCTGTCTCAGTTTGTGCACAATATCATTAACTGAGTAATGAAATCCTTGGATTGAAGTTTTAAGCCATAATGCTATTTTAATCTTGACAAGCTCACAAAAATCATATCCCTTAGGCTGAGCCCCATTAAAGACACACTCATTTCTAAGCTTCCAGAGAGACCAAAATACAACTAAACAACCCCTCCACAACCTATTTTCCTTCTTGAAATTTCCACCAGACCACCAATGGAAACAATTCTAGGTATTGCCCACTCAGCTCCCCAACACTGCATCATTTCAGACCAAGCACACTAGGAGAAAGGGCAACATTGGAGCAATAGATGAACAACTGATTTAGGTTCATTCTTGCAAAACACACACACATTAGCTGCATTGCTATTCAGAATACCAATTCTGTGTAGAAACATAGATGTCTTGACTCTTTCTTTTCAAGCCAACCATCCAAAAAATTGTACCTTAGGGGGGATATCCTTATTCCATACAAATTTGCAAACTTTGATTTGTGAGTCAAGCAATGTGTCCCAAAATTATACAAATCAGCCACCTTAAACCCTCCTACAACTACACCATTCCAGGTAGGACAATTTGTACACCCCTGTCCCACGTTTGGAGCAGTGTTCAAAGTGATAGCCAATCTTGAAGTCTCAATAATCATTTTCCACTCATACAAAGGTCTTTTGACACTATTACAAAAATAGTTAAAGATCACACTTTGACAAAAAAAAAAGATCTCACTTTTATTAGAAGTGTGATAAAAAAAATTAGATTGATATTTTAATCACACTTAATTTGATTGAGTGTGATAATATTTATTTTTTATGTCACTTTTCAATTAAGTGTGATTATATATATATATTTTTAATGGAAAGTGAGCCCTCCTTGTTAGTTGATAATCCAAACAGCCTTGGAAACTCGACTTAGCTCTGGAATCATAATGGTATATATGAATTCGTGCTCCTCTGAGTTTATATCTTCATCTAAGTTCAGATACACAAAACCAATCATAAAATAATAGTACTACATTTATCATATATTCATACCACAATTCACATATCATTTCATATTGCACAATCACAACCATAGGATATTAATGAAATTTATGTGAGACCCATTGCATTAATAGTTGTGATTGTATCACATGAAATGATATTTGAAATGTAATATAAGTAGATGGGTGGTAAATATAGCATTATGGATTATTGAATTGATCACAAAAATTACAATAATAACAAATTGCACCAGAGTTCCCTTTAATATATATCTGTGTCAATTTAGTCCCACTAATAACATTTACTACAAAAAAAATCACTTTTGGCGACTAAATTTTTAGTTACCAAAAGTCCGTTTTTAGTCGCCGAAAGTCGAAATTTTACTTTCCCCAACAAAATTTTTTAGTCGCCACATTTGTCGCGTATATGTGGTCGGCGGAGGTATTGGCGACTAAAACTTTTTTAGTCGCCAAAATACAAGTCTTGAACGACCAAAATTTTAGTCGCCAATAGTGTTTTACACTTTTGAAAATCATACATTTATCGACTAATAATTTAGTCGCCAATACTCACTCAATAGCCGACTAAACCGTTTAGTCGCCAAAGTAAAGACTTTTGGCGACTAATAATTTTAGTCGCCAAAGGTGTTTCCGTCAAAAAAAAAAAAAACCCACTTTTTTTTGCTTTTTCTAAGTTTCAAACCCCAACCGTCCCACATTCCGAACCTTTTTGCAACACACTCTATCCACTATGCCACTACAACATCATATGAATATATATGCAATATATATTAGTTATATAGTATATTAACCGGTATTAATACAAAATAATATATATAAATATAATTTTTTTAATTCAATATAATTTATGTAAAAAATAAATTATTTACTTAAAAAAAATTTAGGCCACTTTTGGCGACTAAATTAAATTTTTAGTCGCCAATTCTATCATTTTTGGCTACTAATTATTATTTATAAAAAAAATTTAGGCCACTTTTGGCGACTAAATTAAATTTTTAGTCGCTAAAAAATTAAGTTCCGCCTAGAAATAAGCAGTTTTGGCGACTAAACCTGTTTTTAGTCGCCAAAAACGTCCCCTTTTGGCTACTAAACTGAATTTTAGTCGGCAATGGACTGTTTTTAGCTACTATTTTATTTTTTGTAGCAAAAAAGTTTCACTTTCAGCGACTAAACTGTTTTTAGTCGCCAAAACCATCACTTTTGGCTACTAAATCATTTTCAGTCGCCAAAAACCATGACTATTGGCTACTAAACAACCTTTAGTCGCTAACACCCCTACATTCGGCGACTAAACTGCCTTTTAGTCGCTAATACTCTTATATTTGGCGACTAAACTCTTTTAGTCGGCAAAAGTTATCAATTTTGGCGACTAATTCCATCTTAGTCGCCAATTGTACTACTTTTAGCGACGAAAATTGTAATTTTAGTCACCAAAAGTGCTTTTTGTTGTAGTGATTATCGTTAAAATTTTCATATTATGTTAGTATAATTCAATTAATAAGAATTTTTTTGCAAAATTAAACTAAAATCAATGACAAAATGATCCATTGATTCCTCAAAACAATTAAAGAATTGGCATACAATTTGAAATTGTCCTTCAAAACTGCAAAAAGCCTCTCTTTTAAAGATGACGAGTCGTCCATTTTTTTTTTTTTTTTGATCGGCAAAAAAATCTTTATTGATGACAGCATACAAAGTATGGAATAGTACATCAATAAAGAGGAGCTTGGAGCTAAGACAAAGCTCCAAGCGCCAGTTGGTGAGGAACCAACCAAAAAAGATCAAGAGGAGAAAGAGATGGGAAAAAAAAAAAAAACAGCAGAAAAACAAAACTAGTAACATACACCTAGTTACTCCTCTGCACAGGCCAAGAACAAACTCCTCTGCACATTCTAAATCAACCTCCTCTGAAGCATCCACCCCTGCTAATTCTGAGAGCATACCATGAGCTGCATCAAGCTGAACACCTCACCATAAACTAGAAAAACTCAGACTACACATCATGCATCCACCAGACTAAGCTAAAACTGAGCAGGACCAAGGCCATCTCAAAACAGATTCAGACCAGCACATCAAATTCATCTCAACACAGCTTCAGGAACAACAACATAAAGCAGCCCAGTTGAACTCATAATACACCAGCTTAATGAAACAGATCAGAATCCAAATAAACACAGATCCATCTCAAAACAGATCAGAATTAGCACATAGCATACCAGGGCTCGTGCACAGAACATCAGAAGACAGCATATACCAGAACTTATGCATACATTTTTCAGTAGAGCAACAAAATCAACCCACATTACTATGCCAACACTTAACTACACACAATGACAGACTTGACACAGATTATATATAATATCATGCACCGAATAATTAAACCCCTTCAAAGATAAGGAAGCCCACAAAGCTACTCTAACCTTTATTAGCTCTGCCAGAGCAATCAATCCGGTTGCACCTTGTTAAATACACAATCATTTCTGCTTCTCCACACTGACCACATAACTGCTACCGGCAGTGTTTTCCAGACTGTTAGCATCTTCTTCTTCATTTTTATACCTGGCCATGACAGAAATAAACCCTCCACTGATCCAGGGCTAACCCATTTGTAATTCCACCAGTTCACCAAATTGGCCCACAATTTCCAAATGAAATGGCAGTGAAGAAACACATGATTAACAGTCTCCAACTCAGATTTGCAAAACACACAGAGAGAAGAAACATTTGGGCTCAACACTCCAATTCTTTGCAAAAATTCAGAACACTTTAACCTTCCTCTCCACGCTAGCCAACTCAAGAATTGAGCTTTGGGAGGGGCTAAATTGATCCAAATACACCTAGTTACTGTAATATCTATCCCTTGACTTGCTTCCATCCACTTCCACACTGATGCCACAGTGAACTCTTCAGACGGGTGAGCTACCCAAGAACAAGAATCTACCATCCCTTCATTGAGCCTAGGCGCATTCTGCAGGAAATCATTAAGTTTCTGCACTTCCTCCTCTTCCCATGCTAGGAGGGGACGTCTGAAGACCAGGTTCCAATCTGAATCTGACACTCTTCTATGTACAAAATCAACCAGCTTTCTGTCCTTTTCAACTGATAATGAGAATAATCTGGGAAAAGACACACTCAGATTTTGATTGTGACACCACTTATCAGACCAAAAATGCAATCTTCTGCCATTTCCAACAACTAGCCTAAAATTTTGCAAGAAAAATTCTCGCAGAGCAGTGTTAACTTCAGCCACTGATATTATGCCTTTCCACGTATACGACAGCCCCACTGAACTAATAAATAAGGGGCACCACCTGCCACCTACACCGCCATACTTACTACAAATCACTTTTTTCCACAAAGCTGCCTCCTCATTTCCATACCTCCACCACCATTTAACTAGTAGACACTCATTAACCTGGCTTAGGTTTCTTACCCCTAGCCCACCCTTATTTTTACTTAGGCATATCTCCTTCCAGCTAATTAGGTGCAACAAAAAAAAAATTATTTAACAAAAAATAAAATTTTTTAACGACAGCAACCCTCGTCAGAAAAAAGAAAAAAAAAATTAAATGACATTGTTTTATTGTTTAAATTTTATTTGTGATCCTTAAAAAAAAAAGGATTTTAATTTTTTTTTATCCACCCCCGTCTCCCTCTCTTTTTTTCTCCATTCCCGCTTTTTTTTTTTTTCATTCCCTCCCAACCCCCACTCCCGGGGGCCCAAAACCAAAAATCCCTAATCTCCTAAGATTTGTTAAGCCTCAAGGAGATTACATAGAGCTTCACAGGAAGAGAAATGGCTATCGCCATGATCATTTCGAGCGCAAACGAAAGAAAGAGGCTCGTGAAGTCCACAAGCAATCTCAGATTGCTCAGAAGGTTCAGTTTCTTCACTTTTCTATTGAGGATCTTGTTTACTGTTTTGGAAAATGAAATTACTATTGAGGATCTTGTGGACTCACAAGTCACCAGATCAACTGTCTATAAATTCCTGGGATGTTTTGGGGGCTTTTTTTCTTTGTGGGTTGTCTTTGTTTTTTCATTTGAATAGTATCGACTTTTGGAGTGGTTTCTTTTTGATTTTGACTCTTCTCTCTCTTCTTTGGACCTAAAGATTCATCAGATTTGGGTAATAATCTCAATTGGGTTTTCTGTTTCTTCTTCTTTGTATTGTAAGAGATTAGATGATCAGTCTGTCAGTTGCTTAATGGTCTTATTTGTTTCACTCTCAAATTATAAAAGATCATCTTTATAAATTTATTTTCTATTTTTGTTTTTGTTTTTAAAGGTTTGTAACTGGTGATTATGATGTTCATACGTTTTGATCTTGATATCGGAAGATGATTACTGTATTGGGCTTTGTATTAGTCCTGAATTCCTCTTTATTATTTTTCTCTCTATTTCTTATCAAGATTTGATGATGTTGAATATTTGGATTCTCACAAAAACAAATAAATGTGGACAATTTTGATCTGAGCATTTGAATGTGGCAGTCATGACATCTAATAGATTTATGAATTTGGTTTTTGAATCCTTATTGCAGAACACAATTTTTCTTTTCATTTGTTTTTATTTTTATAAATCTTCATTTGGTGTTGGTAATTCATTTGGATTTTGTTAAATGCTGAGAACCGCGAGTTTCTATTTTTATTTTTATTTTTATTTTTTTAGGATGTATATATATATATCATTCTTCTTTTAGGATATATTTTCATTTTGCGGCTTTTATTCCCTGGAGAAAGCAGCTGCTCATGCATCATCATTTCTTGGAAGAACAGGGAAACATTTATTTTCGAGAGATGGTGATAATGAAAAACCTCCTATTTTACTTCAGATGGCCAACGATACTGATGATCTTCCATTTATGTGAGCCCTCGTGAATTTAATAGATTCTGATCAGAAGTCAAACAAATATTTCTTTGTGACTACAAATGATATAAAACCTATCTTGACTCCTTGTCTTGTCTCTGCAGATCTACTCTACAGTCCTTTAGGCGTCGGGTTGCCTACGCTAATGCACGATATGATCGTATCCTGCCATACTATATACATTTGTTTATTATTTTTTACTTGTTTATGTAGGAAGATATTTGGAGATAAAATGTCAGGACATTTAAACATATGCTCAAGCAATACATGAAAAACTAGTTAGGCTGTTCCAATTTTCTTCTTTTTGAAATCCTCTAATTTATGTGAAGAACTTAACACTTCCTCTTAGATCTTGTTGGATGGAGTACATCATCACTGCGGCGTTGAAGTGAGCTCCCAAAGGTAATTCTTAATCTTTATGGAGCCTTAGAATTGTGTTTCCAAATTTTCTTACTTTTTTTTCTTTCTTTTTTTTTTCAGCGTCAAAATCTGTCAAGAATTGACAAATACCCGCATGTCGTAAATGTGGAGTTAGCAAAACCTGTGAATACTCAAGAAGAAATGTCTTTAGAGGGCCAAGTCAATGTATGCAAGACCATTGATATGGAAGGTTAGTTACCAAATTTTTGTCAATGCTATTCATGTTCTACAGCACTAATCTTACAAGATTCAAGAACCATTACTTCCCATTAAAAAACCAAGTTAAAAATTAAAATAAAAAGGGTTTTTCCTTCATTTTAAATGTAGATTTCACTTGTATATTTAGTTTTTCTGGAATTGTGAAAGAGAGTAAAAAGTTACTGGCAATATTGTGAATCCCGCTCAACACCATGTTGTACCAGCTGGTACATACCATTTTAACAGGAAACTGGAATAATGGAGACTCAACACAGTTCCAGTTAATTTTCTGGTTTGTACCGGATTATTTTAGGTGTATCGGGCTAGCTCAATTTCCAAGCATACAGACTGTTCTAGCATATACCAGTTAGTGAAAAGAATGAAAGAACTGAAAATGAATTTCAGTGTGAAACAAGGTTGGGCTTCGAACTAGCATGTCTTGGTTTAGTCAAAACTGGAAGAAAAACACACATTTCTCTTCATTTTGACTCATTTATTTGTGTTTTTTCTTATAGAAAGAACATACTTGTTTATACTTCATAAAGTAAATCATTGTAATTTGAAAGATATCTGAAAAGGAAACACACTTGCACTTCCTTGAGTGCAGTAGGATTGGGATTGTGTTCTTAATTGCATTTATTCAAGAACCATATTGCGTCCAATTGTAGAGGCAATGATCAGGGGTCTCACAAAAATGAGCTGGGAAAGGGTTGATATTGACTTCAGTGGAACTAAACAAAGACTTTTGGCGCATAGTACTATTCAGGCAAGTTTCTTCTTTCTCTTTAATTTAACTACAGAATCAAGGAAAAACATAATAACCTCAATGAGTAAAATGCGGCTTGGAGGTCAACATCTTGAAATGGATTGGAACTCTCTAGTTTGAATTCCCCTCCAGATAAAAGAGGGTCAGCACAATCAGATTTCAGTCCATTTGGAAAAATAGGAGAGAAGTAAACAAAGAAATGATAGTAGTACTAGTTTATCTTCTTCTTGTTTGGATAGTATAAGAGTGAGATAAAAGAGAAAGAAAGTAGTTTATCATCTCTTCTTGTTTGGGAAAGATAGTAGTATCAACATTTCTAATGAGTGACCTTTTTCTTTTGTTCTGCTCGTGCAGGTAAAAACTTACTGTGTGAATTCCGCCGGAGCTGATGTGATACAACATATGATCGACAATTTTCTGTTATAGGTGTCACCAAATTACATTTATTTATGCATCAATTTATTTTATTTTATTTTTCAGTTTCTTCCATATGGAGATAATGTAAATATGCACAAGCAATCCTTGAGCATTTAGTTCCTTTTAGAACTCTAATTTTTAAAATTACAGAAACACTGGAGGGAGTAATTTTCCCTGTTTTAGAGTTATATGTAACTTTCTGCCTAACATGCTATTTTAGTAATTTTTTTTTTATTTTTTGACAAAAATATAAGGTAAAAAAATTATATTTGGGATCACTTGTTGACTTTTTACAGAAAAATGTACAAAAAGTATAGAGAAAAAACAATATTTGACCCTTTTTTTTCTTTTTTTTTTAAAGTTGTTATAAGTTGTTGATTTTTAAATTAAAATATTGAGTTAAAAGTGCCAAGGAATGGTTTAAAGTATAGTGCATTTGCGAAATGTTTGATTGGTGGTTGTGCGCTTGTAATTTCAGTTCGTGGATATTATTTTAGTGTAATTGGTATACTGGATGGTGTCCCGATTACTTTGACAACATGTGTGTGGAACCTAAATGTGGGCTCTACGTGTGGAACCTGAATATATTTTCAAATATTAATAAAATGAATTCATCATTTGTATTTCTATATTCTACAATTATTTTGCATTCTTTATATTGCAATTAATTGTCATGTGATTGATATATTGATGTTTTTAGGTTATGAAATTTGTAACCTTTTAATTTTAATTAGTGTTATTTTGTTTTTTTTCATTACCTCTGAATAAGCTATTCACATAGTTGACATATAATAAATTTATAATAGTATAATTTTTAAAAATGTTCCAGACATATCGTGTCGTGCATTTTTTGAAAATCAATGTGGCCTTATGTCAAAGCTGTGTCCTTGTCATGTGTCAGTGCTACTTAGAGCACAGCACAACAAATTATTTGGGAGAAACCAATAATTTAATTTGTGTGTGTGTGTGTGTGTGTGTGTTTCTTCACCAAGTTTATTTGGATTTGATGGTTTGAATTACAATTTTAACTTCACATTACGTAGCACTAATTGAGGATTGGAAAGCACCTGCAGGCTGCAGCACCTATATAGTTTTCATAACTAGCATTTGTTTCAATTTGTTAGGGGAGAACATATGTACAGGTGTAAAACTGAATAGATTACACTCCAATTGTATGAATCAGTTAAGTGTTCATTATTTTCTAATGCATAGATTTCTACCTTTGCTTGTTCCGAATGTTGTTCTAGATTCATTTCATTTGACTACTTCAAAGTTTCTTTTTATCGTTATTGTAACAATTGTTATTCTCAACAGGGATGAGTAATTCTCAACGGGATGAGTAAAGCTTCTTGAGATATTTCTGACCAGACCATCTAGTTCTGTAACTGCTCTCTTCCTTCCCTTTTATTTGTTTATTTATTTTTTGAGGTTTTCTCTTCATTTTGACTCATTTATTTGTGTTTTTTCTTATAGAAAGAACATACTTGTTTATACTTCATAAAGTAAATCATTGTAATTTGAAAGATATCTGAAGAGGAAACACACTTGCACTTCCTTGAGTGCAGTAGGATTGGGATTGTGTTCTTAATTGCATTTATTCAAGAACCATAACAGTTCTGTGGTGAATCCAATCAATGATCAATCCTACTTAGAGGTGTGATATAAGAGATGATATGCTAATTCTATGATTTTTGGAGATTGTTGAGTGTTGCTGAGCTCTTTCATCTCAAGTCTAGAAGAATGAGGTTTACCATGATCAATGAAAGAGATGGGAATCGACACATTTAGTAATGCCACTTAATTTGTTCATACATGTCAAAGGTGTTAGCAATCCATAATGCCTAACTATAATCGGTAAGACTCAAAACACAAGAAGAACAAACACACAAGAAAGAACACACAAACTTGACCTCTAGGTGACAATGCTTTAAGGCTAGGGAAATTAACAGAGAGTAAATTAGATATGAAAAATAACAGCAGAGAAAATAATATATAGTTTTAGTCATTAGGTGATCCAATCCATTATTAGATAAAGAAGAAGAAATTCTTGACCTAAATAACAGCAGAGAAGAAATTTAGAGAAATTCTTGATGGGTTTCCCAAATATTTGATTTTTGTTTAAACAAATCTTTCAAATTTTGAATTAGTAAGATAAGAGAACCCATTATGGTGTTTGAATAAAATTCTTGAATGGGGGGCTTTAGTGTTCAAATGATTCTATTACAATGTTGAATTTCTTTTTTTTTAATCTTTTTGGGTATTTTTCCTGATTGTGGTATTTGATTTTTAATTTTTTTTTGGTGGTATAAATAAATGGGTAATGTAGGGTGGTATAATATCTCCAAGTAAATTGAGGATGAAGCTAATAGGGGCAGCTGCTCAGCATAAGAGGAAGAAAGATGGATCAAATAGTAACTCAGTAAGAACATCTCTTTCCAAACTTGAGGATTCTGAGTTTGTCAACAATAGTTTGTTAGCCACCATGACTGCAGGAGACTTTGATGACCATGGTGTTTTATGTGACTCTGCTTCATCTTTGTTTTCTCATTACATCCATTGGTAATTAGTATTTAACATTATATTTTACTCTCAAACTAATTTTCTGTTTCTTCTTTGTAAACAAAAAACAGGAAACATATTGTCCCAAAAAAGAAAAAAGAAAAAACTCAAAACATGTTTAATATACACATGTTTTCCAAACAAATACTAACAAAAATAAGAAAACATGTTTGGTGAGTTGCAGGAAAGGTGAAGTAGTCGCCGGGAAGGGAAAGGGTGGCTAAAGGGGGTGAGGGAGTGGCTGGAGGGGGGATGGAGGAATAGTGTTTTCAAAGGCTCAAGGAACCCCCAAGGCACCAAAGGTTTCTTGAGTTTTTATTTATTTATTTATGGGTACCTAAAATTATGGTTCAACAGTAATAATAATATAAGATGTATTGAGATTTATCATTTTTAAATACTGTGCTCATTAGTGACCTCCTAATTACAATGTCATTGACACTGAGCTGCTATGGCATCTAATTGATAACAGGGAAGTTACTTCCAAAATGATTAAGATCAAACAGAAATGATTAATGTTCTTATTTTAGTTTGTTGAATTAACTTTTTAGTTTATTCATATGCATCAGTGGTTTCTGGATTAATTTGTATTTTTATTTTTCAGGTCAGAAATTTTTTGGAGAGATGCAAAATATGGTCCGAGAATTAAAGAACTTAGTTTTTTAAGTTTTTTCATTTTTTAATAGATGTAAACACAGTTAATTTTTTTTTATTTAATTCTTTTGTATATACTTTTGAATATTTAATTTTCATTTATGAAATATATGACGTTATTCTATTCAATATGTGGTTATGATTCAAAATATAATATATAGTGTGTATTACATTCTTCAAATGTGCATACAAAAATAATATTGATTATTTTTCAAATATGTCGAATTCTTTTTTTATCACATATTTTATTAGTTATTAATCACACTTAAAAGATGTGATCTAAATATTATTAATCACACTTAAAAGATGTGATGTAAATATTTTTAATCACACTTAAAAGATGTAATCTAAATGTTATTAATTACATTTAAAAAGTGTGATTAAAAATGACCCTTTTTAATCACACTTCCAAATATCACACTTAAAAGGTGTGATCTAAATATTTTTAATCACACTTAAAAGGTGTGATCTAAATATTTTTAATCACACTTAAAAGATGTGATCTAAATATTTTTAATCACACTTAAAATGTGTGATTTAAATGTTATTAAGCACACTTAAAAAGTGTGATTAAAAATGACCCATTTTTAATCACACTCCCAAAGATCACACTTTGATAAAACTTAAAAGGTGTGATTAAATAACATACATCACACAAAAAAAGTGTGATCTTTATCTGTTTTTGTAGTAGTGTGAGAAACAACTCCCATTCTTCCGAGTTTGGTTTCCCTTCATAGAATCTGGAAAGTGAGCCCTCCTTGTTAGTTGATAATCTAAACAGCCTTGGAAACTCGACTTAGCTCTGGAATCATAATGATATATATGAATTCGTGCTCCTTTGAGTTCATATCTTCATCTAAGTTCAGATACACAAAACCAATCATAAAATAATAGTACTACATTTATCATATATTCATACCACAATTCACATATCATTTCATATTGCACAATCACAACCATAGGATATTAATGAAATTTATGTGAGACCCATTGCATTAATAGTTGTGATTGTATCGCATGAAATGATATTTGAAATGTAATATAAGTAGATGGGTGGTAAATATAGCATTATGGATTATTGAATTGATCACAAAAATTACAATAACAACAAATTGCACCAGAGTTCTCTTTAATATATATCTGTGTCAATTTAGACCCACTAATAACATTTACTACAAAAAAAAAGCACTTTTGGCGACTAAATTTTTAGTCACCAAAAGTCCGTTTTTAGTCGCCGAAAGTCGAAATTTTACTTTCCCCAACAAAATTTTTTAGTCGCCACATTTGTCGCGTATATGTGGTCGGCGGAGGTATTGGCGACTAAAACTTTTTTAGTCGCCAAAATACAATTCTTTAACGACCAAAATTTTAGTCGCCAATAGTGTTTTACACTTTTGAAAATCATACATTTACCGACTAATAATTTAGTCGCCAATACTCACTCAATCGCCGACTAAACCGTTTAGTCGCCAAAGTAAAGACTTTTGGCGACTAATAATTTTAGTCGCCAAAGGTGTTTCCGTCGGAAAAAAAAAAAACCCCACTTTTTTTTTGCTTTTTCTGAGTTTCAAACCCCAACCGTCCCACATTCCGAACCTTTTTGCAGCACACTCTCTCCACTATGCCACTACAACATCACATGAATATATATGCAATATATATTAGTTATATAGTATATTAACCGGTATTAATACAAAATAATATATATAAATATAATTTTTTTAATTCAATATAATTTATGTAAAAAATAAATTATTTACTTAAAAAAAATTTAGGCCACTTTTGGCGACTAAATTAAATTTTTAGTCGCCAATTCTATCATTTTCGGTTACTAATTATTATTTAGTAGCTAAAAAATTAAGTTCTGCCTAGAAA